ATATCTATTATATGATATATATATATATATATATATATTATATAATATATTATAATTATTTTTTTTCCATTCTCATTTTAAAGTGACTTTTCTTTAGATAAGCTTTATTCATATTCATTTTGCATTATTCTCTGAGACTGAGTCAGGCTAAAGAGAGAATGCATTTATGATTATATACGTACAGACTATAGTAGCAGACGAGAGTCTAACATAATCCCCTCTGCACACGGCACAGGTGGACCAGCGTGGCCTCAGCCCGACCGTGGACGGCATCATCTTCAGCGTATACGCCCTAGTCATCGTGCTTGTTTCACCCACCATAGGAAAGACTGTTAGGCGCCCCAAGTCTTTGTTTTTGAGCATTGCCGAAAGAGTCTTCCGTTCTGAGAGTATATGAGTCAATGCATGTATATATGATTCCGTAATCTAAAAGAAAAATCCGGATATCCACTTACTGTACTCTTAAATGTCTATATTTTCTGTAAATCTAGTTAGATTTCAATGTAATAGATTGCCTTCTTACTGCCTTACTATCTTACTCTATTTTCTCTCTCCCTCGCCATATCCGTTTCTCCCTCTCACTATCATTCTCTCATTCGCCATATACGTTTCTCCCTCTCACTATCATTCTCTCATTGCCAATATACGTTTCTCCGCTTTCCGCTCTACTATCATTCTCTCCCTCGCCATATCCGTTTTCTCCTTTCGCTATCATTCTCTCCCTCGCCATACATTCCGTTTCTCCTCTTCGCTATCATTCTCTTCATTCGCCATACATCCGTTCTCATCGCCTTTTTCACTTCATTCTCTCCCCTCGCCATATTTCTTCGCCGTTTCATTCTCGCCTCTCATCGTTTCTCATCGCTATCATCTCTCCTCTCGCCATCACATCCGTTTTCCCTCTCTATATCATTCTCTCCCTCGCTCATATCCTTCTCCCTCTCGCTATCATTCTCTCCTCGCCATATCTTTTCTCCTCTCGCTACATTCTTCTCCCCTCGCCATATCCGTTTCTCCTTTCGCTATCATTCTCTCTCCCTCCGCTATATCCGTTTTTCTCCCTCTCGCTATCATTCTCTCCTCGCCATATTTTCTATCTCTCCCTTCTCGCTATCATTCTCTCTCCCTCCGCCATATCCGTTTCTCCTTCTCGCTATCATTCCTGCGTGTCTCTCAATCCCGCCTATCCGTTTCTCCCTCTCGCTATCATTTCTCTCCTCGCCATATCCGTTTCTCCCCTCTTCGCTATCATTCTCTCCCTCGCCATATCCGTTTTCCTCTCGCTATCATTCCTCTCATTCGCCATATATCCCTTTCTCCCTTTCGCTATCATCTCTCTCTCGCCATATCCGTTTCTCCCTCTCGGCTATCATTCTCTCCCCTCGCCATATCCGTCTTCCCCTCTCCGCTATCATTCTCTCCCTCGCCATATCCTCTTCTTCCCTCTCGCTATCATCTCTCTCCTCTCGCCATATCCGTTTCTCCCTCTCGCTATCATTCTCTCCCTCGCCATATCCGTTTCTCCCTCTCGCTATCATTCTCTCCCTCGCCATATCCGTTTCTCCCTCTCGCTATCATTCTCTCCCTCGCCATATTTCTCCCTTCTCGCTATCATTCTCTCCTCGCCATATCCGTTTCTCTCCCTCTCGCTATCATTCTCTCCCTCGCCATAATCCGTTTCTCCTCTCTCGCTATCATTCTCTCCCTCGCCATATCCGTTTCTCCTCTCGCTATTCATTCTCTCCCTCGCCATATCCGTTTCTCCCTCTCGCTATCATTCTCTCCCTCGCCATATCCTTTCTCTCTCTCCTCTCGCTATCATTCTCTCCTCGCATATCCGTTTCTCTCCCTCTCGCTATCATTCTCTCCCTCCATATCCGTTTCTCCCTCTCGCTATCATTCTCTCCCTCGCCATATCCGTTTTCTCCCTCTCGCTATCATCTCTCTCCCTCGCCATATATCATTCTCCCTCGCCATATCCGTTTCTCCCTCTCGCTATTCATTCTCTCTCCTCCGCCATTATCTCCGTTTCTCCCTCTCGCTTATCATTCTCTCCCTCGCCATATCCGTTTCTCCCTCTCGCTATCGCTCGCCATCTCTATCATTCTCTCCCTCGCCATATCCGTTTCTCTCCTCTCGCTCATCGCCATTCTTTCCCTCGCCATATCCGTTTCTCCCTCTCGCTATCATCTCTCCCTCCATATCCGCTCATATCGTATCTCTCCTCTCGCTATCCCTCGCCATATCCGTTTCTCCCTCTCGCTATCTCCCTCGCCATATCTCGTCGTCCCTTCTCGCTATCATTCTCTCTCCCTCGCCATATCCGTTTCTCCCTCTCGCTATCATTCTCTCCCTCGCCATATCCTTTTCTCCCTCTCGCTATCATTTCTCTCCCTCGCCATATCCGTTTCTCCCTCTCGCTATCATTCTCTCCCTCGCCATATCCGTTTCTCCCTCTCGCTATCATTCTCTCCCTCGCCATATTCCGTTTCTCCCTCTCGCTATCATTCTCTCCCTCGCCATATCGTTTTCTCCCCTCGCTATCATTCTTCTCCCTTCGCCATATCCGTTTCTCCCTCTCGCTATTCATTCTCTCCCTCGCCATATCCGTTTCTCTCCTCTCGCTATCATTCTCTCCCTCGCCATATCCGTTTCTCCCTCTTTGCTATCATCTCTCTCCCTCGCCATATCCGTTTCTCCCTTTCGCTATCATTCTCTCTCCTCGCCATATCCGTTCTCCCTCTCGCTACATCTCTCCCTCGCCATATCCGTTTCTCCCTCTCGCTATCATTCTCTCATTCGCCATATACGTTTCTCCCTTTCACTATCATTCTCTCCCTCGCCATATCCGTTTCTCCCTTTCGCTATCATTCTCTCCCTCGCCATATCCGTTTCTCCCTCTCGCTATCATTCTTTCCCTCGCCATATCCGTTTCTCCCTCTTCGCTATCATCTCTCCCTCGCCATATCCGTTTCTCCTCTCTCGCTATCATTCTCTCATTCGCCATATACGTTTCTCCCTTTTCACTATTCATTCTCTCCCTCGCCATATCCGTTTCTCCCTTTCGCTATCATTCTTCTTCCCTCGCCATATCCGTTTCTTCCCTTTCGCTTCATTCTCTCCCTCGCCATATCCGTTTCTCCCTCTCGCTATCATTCTTCTCCCTCGCCATATCCGCTCCCTCGCCATATCCTTTTCTCCCTCTCGCTATCATTCTTTCCCTCGCCATATCCGTTTCTCCCTCTCGCTATCATTCTCTCCCTCGCCATATCCGTTTCTCCCTCTCGCTATCATTTCTCTCATTCGCCATATACGTTTCTCCCTTTCGCTATCATTCTCTCCCTCGCCATATCCGTTTCTCCCTCTCGCTATCATTCTCTCCCTCGCCATATCCGTTTTCTCCCTTTTCGCTATCATTCTCTCCTCGCCATATCTGCCATATCCGTTTCTCCCTCTCGCTATCATTCTCTCCCTCGCCATATCCGTTTCTCCCTCTCGCTATCATTCTCTCATTCGCCATATCCGTTTCTCCCTTTCACTATCATTCTCTTCCTCGCCATATCCGTTTCTCCCTTTCGCTATCATTCTCTCTCTCGCCATATCCGTTTCTCCCTTTCGCTATCATTCTCTCCCTCGCCATATCCGTTTCTCCCTCTCGCTATCATTCTCTCCCTCGCCATATCCGTTTTCTCCCTCTCGCTATCATTCTCTCCCTCGCCATATCCGTTTCTCCCTCTCCGCTATCATTCTCTCCCTCGCCATATCCGTTTCTCCCTCTCGCTATCATTCTTTCCCTCGCCATATCCGTTTCTCCCTCTCGCTATCATTCTCTCATTCGCCATATACGTTTCTCCCTCCTATTCATTCTTCTCCCTCGCGCATTATCCGTTTCTCCCTTTCCACTTCATTCTCTCCCTCGCCCATATCCGGTTTCTCCCTTTCGCTATCATTCTCTTCCCTCGCCATATCCGTTTTCTCCCTCTTCGCTATCATTCTCTTCCCTCGCCATATCCGTTTCTCCCTCTCGCTATCATTCTCTCCCTCGCCATATCCGTTCTCCCTCTTGCTATCCATTCTTCTCCCTCGCCATATTCCTTTTTCTCCCTCTCGCTATCATTCTTTCCCTCGCCATATCCGTTTCTCCCTCTCGCTATCATTCTCTCCCTCGCCATATCCGTTTCTCCTTCTCGCTATCATTCTCTCCCTCGCCATATCATTTTCTCCCTCTCGCTATCATTCTCTCCCTCGCCATATTCCGTTTCTCCCTCTCGCCTATCATTCCTCCCTCGCGCATAATCCCGTTCTCCCTCTTTCGCTATCCATTTCTCCCTCGCAATATCCGTTTCTCCCTCTCGCTATCATTCTCTCCCTCGCCACATCCGTTTCTCCCTTTCGCTATCATTCTCTCCCTCTCACTATCATTCTCTCCCTCGCCATATCCGTTTCTCTCTCTCACTATCATTCTCTCCCTCGCCATATCCGTTTCTCCCTCTCACTATCATTCTCTCCCTCGCCATATCCGTTTCTCCCTCTCGCTATCATTCTCTCCCTCGCCATATC